CCTGCCAGCAAAAAGCAAGACACCCGGTTTAGGGTTTAGGGTTTAGGGTTTAGGGTTTAGGGTTTAGGGTTTAGGGGCTCGTATGTAGCTCGCTTCGGGAAAGCATAAGCATGTCCAACCTGCATGAGCAGAACGTGGCATTCAAGATGGTGAGCCTTTACTGGGCTTTGAAGTAGCCAGGGAGAAAACGTATCAACTTTTATACTTTCATGGTTCCTTTAAGAAAAACTTGTTAAAGTACTGCTGATGGACAGAATACTGCATGACCCTAAGGACTCTAAACTATGGGAGCTATAGTATATTCCTTCTATTGGGTAATGCAGGATTTTGTCCATCAACAGTATCACTTTCGAACCCTGAATTAAGGAAGCCCAAACTACCCTCAAAGCCCTAAGAAAAACTTATTAAAGTATGGTACTCCAAGGCCCAGTTTATTGAAGGAACTTTTGAAGTTGAGGGTAAAGGGTTTCCCCAAACCCTCAACACAAAAGGCCCTCAGCCCCCCCGTCCTTTTGGGTTCAAAATCAGAATAGGGTTTTAGGGCACATTAAGCTTCGGTTATATTTGTATGGGAGTTTCCGAAAATAGGGGACCCTCATATAGCACCCTAAATAGTAGGATCCTTATAATAAGGACCCCAAAATAAGGTATCCCCGATTTTCGGAAACTCCCATAGAGGGACGACCAGACTACCAATCATTCCGATCCTAAATCTATTACCCTATACTGAACTTAGAACCCTAACAAAAATCATAATTTTAGCTGTTTCTTAGGGATTATAATAACCAAAAATTAAAAAATATTTCTAAGTACCCCTAAGTATTAGGACCTTAATAGTAGCCCCATTATAGACGCTTATACTGTATAGGGGCAGTACCTAAAATATATTATAATTTTAGCTGTTTCTTAGGGATTATAATAACAAAAAATTTAAACTATTTCTAAGTGCCCCTAAGTACTGTAACCCACCATGGGTCGCCAGGGACCGGGCTTTTTCATGACGTCCACGGCCGTGTTGTAGTCGAGCAGGCCCGGCACAGCCGAGCTGTAGGAAACCTGCTGTTTTACATACGGGTGGTTGTCAGAATTATGGTCCCTTTTTGGGTACCCTAAATATTAGGTGCCGTATTATAATAGGGACCCACAAAGGGACCCTAATTTTGACAACCACCCATATATTCACCAGGGTTGCATAAGGGTTTCATGCAGTAAGGGCCGTAAGGGCTCTTTAACTCTGTATACATTTCTTTGTACGGCTCTGTAAGGGCTTAAAAAAATACAGACCTTCATCAGCGCTGCATAGGAGTTCTAACACGTAAGGCTTCGCAAAGTGAATTGGAAACGCGGCTGTCTAAAGGTGTTGTAGAAATATTTTCAAGGACTTTAGGGCTGAGGGTCGGGATCGGGGGCTTTAGGGCCTGCAGTAGAGTTGAGGTTTAAGGCTCCTCTGAGGAGTTCAGGTGTTCGGGCGTGCGGTCTCGGGCTCCGGAGGGTTCAGGGTGCAATGCGAAGATCTGTAATTAGGGTGTATATGTTGAGGCCTCGAATACTCAAGCACAGAATAGGTGTTGGGGTTTAGATGGGCTTAGGGCTCGCACGGAATTCAAGCAGTCGTTGCTGCGCGCCGCCGTGGCTTTCATCGCTCTTGTTCTGTGCATCTGAACCGAGACTGCAACCCTAAACCCTAAACCCTAAACCCTAAATCGCAGTATTTGGGCCCTACTTCTACTGGTCAGTGTTCACTACACAGAAGAAACTGCAGGAGCACCAACAACTGTGGCAAAGACAAAGAAATCCGACCACTTATAAGTACTACTACTACTACTGCTACTACTACTACTACTACTACTACTACTACTACTACTACTACTACTACTACTACTAAGAGGAAGCACTACATAATGCATGATGACATCGGGCCGACGTCACATGCATCAGTCTCGAAGCCTCCCGTATAAGCCCGGACTCTAAAGCCTGCAATCGGATCAGACTTTGCCTGCACCACGGCAGCCCCTCTTGGGTCATAGTGGTAAGCCTTGGCTGAAAATTATGAAGATACGGGAGTTTCAGGAAATGACAAGCCCTGAAGCTTGGAACCAAACAGGACTAAGGGACCCGAATGCAACACCTCGAGCACAAGCAGTACACGCACCAAGACATTCCCGTGGAGTGAACTGTAGTTTTTTTGCGAAGTGTGTAACAAGACCCTATGCCCTGGGGGCCCTTCAGTTGGCTTTGAAGAATGCCGCAGTGCACAGGGTCTGCCTGATCCTCAAGCCCGAATTTTGTAGCTGTTAGGTATGCTTTCTTCAGTCCCGGGTTAGCCCCGCTTCTCCTTGAGTCCCACCATGCTCGGCTTAGGAACAATGGTCTTCTGCTGTCCTGTAAGTTAAACCTTGAAGCCGTAGCCGTTCGACCATCGACCAAAATTCAACGCGGTTTAGTGTGCAGCTGGACCCTAAACAAGCCTGCCTTCTAACTTAGAAAGGCAGATCATAAGAAGGAACCCTAAAAACGAAGTTTAGTTGTTGTTAAGGTAGGGCTCATGATTCTGTGGGTGAAGCCAAGTCTTGATGGAACAGGCCAGACAAGCTTGAGCTGAAGTTGGAAGGCTTGGAGACATTGTTGCCCCCCATACAGTATCCATAGTAAAGCAACCACTAAGGGCCTAGTATGTATATATATATATATGTACTTTAGAAACAATATTCCAATTGTTGCTGAGTTGAGGGGCAGTACCCAAAGCACTACCCCACAGCTACAAGGATAGGTATGCTACGGTGTTAGGGCTCGAAACCAGGCCATACAAGTTCTTTGGGGCTATCTTGAGCCTGGTACGGCTCACGGCCCAACCCGTGCATCTACAGAATAGAATGCCGGATCAAACAATCCTAAACAACCAAATCTTACCTCCAAAACAAAAACCAACCCTCAAATGCTAATCCCAACTCCAAATCCCAAACCCACATCCCGAAGCCTACCCGCTGTTGCCTGATACACTGATTACGCCCCTGCAGAACCTCGATCCCAGCACTGTATCCAAAACCCTGTTCACAAAAAATGTGCGTACCCCTAAACCCGACTGGTCCTAAACCGTCTACCCTTGATCCCATGCAAACCCTAAAAGCCACAAAAAAAAAAGCACACAAGCAAGCATGGAGGGATATCCCATATAAACCCCCTCAAACGGAAGCCCAACAAGGTAGGGATATCCCCATGAAATGCTTATGCTTATGTGCTTTTTGGGTCCCTAACCTAAAGGCCCCAAACCGTAAGAGCCACAGACCTGAGGCTCCAACAGCAGCGCCGAGCTCGGGCTTGGCGTAGTTCTCAGCGAAAACGTTCGCCTTGGCTGTTTCCCTTAAGGAACCCTTTATATAGGGTTTAGGGATTTAGGTGTGTTTAAGCTTTTAAAGTCTTCAAAACCCTAAACACTTCTTCTTCTAAACCCATGGAGGGTTCCTTTCAGCTTCCCTTCAAGCATCCTGGAAGAGGTCCTGGGCTTGCTGGGTGTAGGGACGGCTTATGACACTTAGAGGCGACGGGTCTAAAGATTAGGGCTCCGGATATGGGAGGTTCCGAAATTAGGGGTAAGGTATCCCTCATTTTCGGAAACTCCCATATAGGGACGACCAGACTACCAATCATTCCGATCCTGAATCTATTACCCTATACTGAACTTAGAACCCTAGCAAAAATTATAGTTTTAGCTGTTTCTTAGAGATTATAATAACCAGAAATTAAAAACTATTTCTAAGTACCCCTAAGAATACCTTATCTTGGAGTCCTTAGAATAAGGATCCTACTATTTGGGGTACTATACTAGGGTCCCCTAATTTGGGAAACTCCCACGTATGGTTTTGGGCATAGGACAGGGGTGTAGGACTCAGGAGGCTTGAGGCTCTTCCGAATGTGGGCTCCACTTCAAGTCACACTTAAGTTGGCTATCGTTCCCATGCTTCAATATTGGCTGCCCATAGCTACTAAAATTTGTCCCCATAATCACTAAACCTATTTTCATGGTCATAATCTATAGATCCAAATTTTGATAGTAGTGGACTATAGTTCCCACATCTTCCCAAGACATAAACTTGCCATCCCAAACCCGGACCCTAACCCCCTCTAGACTCTATACTCTCAGACTCCCAAAACCCGAAAACCCCAAACCACCAGACAATCTCAAACCCTCTCTTCAAATCATCGAGTCTCGAGTCTCGACCCTTTCACTCTTCTCAACTCTCCTTGGGGCAGGGTACTTATAATAAGTAGGTTATAAGTAAGGTTATAATTGGGGTAAGTCCATTTAGGGTACTTATAACTCTACTTATAACCTACTTACTAAGTCCCCTGCCCCTCCAAGTCCCAATCAAGTCGTGAGCCCCTTTTACCTCAAACTGCAAGTCTCAAGGCCACTTAACTGGCCCCAAACCCCAACCGGTAGTGCTAAACCCTGAACCCGACACCATGATAGAGCCGGAGCTCTACACCATAAGCTCTCTTCAAAATAAGCCCCACTATTCGCATGCGTGGACTGCCCAGGTAATCGTATATGATGTGAGCACCCAAATTACCACCCCAAATATAAGATCGCAAAAACAAAAAATGGTCGTGGTTTTTTTGGGGCAATCACCGAAAATCTTAAGACAAACCCTACTCCATATGGAACCCCAAACCCCGTGCATGTAGCCCCTTTAGGGGCACCCCCGAAATTCTCCTAGAACCCGTTAGTCGACCCTATAGAAATCCTCATGAAGCCCCTCAAGGCCCTTGAAGGCCACAATGGTACAGAACTAGAGAACCTTAGAGGGATGAGCCAACTGAAAGGCCCAGCAGAAACCTAAACCCTAAACCCTAACTGCCCTAAACCCTAAACTCTAAACCCTAAAGTGCCCTAAACCCTAAACACTAAACCCCAAACGAGCGAAGTTCTGGGCCTCTGCTCCGGCCTTTGTCCCGGTCACCATGGCCAAGAGCGCTTCAAGTTCATCAGACCCGAAAGCTCATTGCATCGACTTGAGGGCACTCTCGAAGGCTGCAAAAATGGGCGCCGAGTCTCTTACTCTGGGAGATGCCGCCAACGACTGGCACTTGCCTGTGATGTCATTGTACGTACGCAGGTACTGCAGGAGGAGCTCCGCTGCTTCGCTCTTCCACCCTCCGCTGCTCACGGGATAGCCAAGGTACACATGCTCGGCGGACGCACTAGCGCACATGAGCCCCATGCGGCGGTGGTCTGCAAACAAAGTGACCAACTGAGCAAAGTTTGGCAATAGAACCGCCTCTCCAGTGGAGAGCAGGCTCAAGACAAATCGGATGGACAATGTCAGCGTTGCGCCCCCAGCGAAAGTGAAGTTCATCCGCGTGTTGATGAAGTCATCGGCAGATAGCTTCTTGATCAAACAGCGTAAGTCCGCAATGGATGCATGCATAAACACTCAACCCCAAACCCAAAACCCAAAACCCTAAAAGTGCCCTCAACCCTAAACCCCAAATCCTAAACCCCTAAGACCCTAAACTGCCCTAAACCCTAAACACTAAACCCTAAACCCCTAAAACCCTAAACTGCCCTAAACCCTAAACACTAAACCCCAAGCCCTAAACCCCTACCAGAAAAGCCCTAAACTGCCCTAAACCCTAAACCCCAAACCCCTAAAACCCTAAACTGCCCTAAACCCTAAACACCAAATCCTAAACCCCAAACAGGCCTATAAGCCCTTGAAGGAAGCCCCCATTCTTCAACGGAGCTAAAGAGCAGAAAGGAGCGTCCATGCGTCCTGCATGGAGCCGGCAGCTCTGGAAGCTCTTGGGCTTCAGAAGGTTAGGTTTAGGGTTTAGGGCTTAAGGGGTTTAGGGTTGAGGGTTTAGGGTTTTGGATTTAGGTTTAGGGTTTAGGGTTTAGAGTTTAGGGTTTTGGGTTTAGGGTAGGACTCAGTTTTTGGGCACCTAGCATTTGAGCTCTGAGTTGCAGCCAGAAAAAGGATCTTACGATTTAAATTTACATGATCTATAATTACAACCCTAAGCCTTATCGCATGAAGCTCAAGGTCTGACTTGCACTTGGCACTGTGAGCTTCGTCCTCCTCAGGTCTTAGGTTTGCGACAGGAACGAACAACTCGGGCCTGTGGTGTGTTGTTTTCTGTATTTGTATATTAACAACTGTACTAAAATACATCAAAGTGCTTGTGCGAAATTACACGCCGCCAGGGCGTACCATACTGTAGGTTTTAGGGGTTTAAGGGTTCAGGGTTTAGGGTTTAGGGGTTTACATACCGAAACCTTGAACATGAAGCCGTAAGCTCTGAACCCCTACAACTAAAAGTTCCTTGGGACACCCCACCCGAGTGGAACTTATCTGGCCGACATGTTAGAGCCCGACATCATCGCCTCCTACCCCTGAGCCGTGCCGAGGGTAATTACGTACCATGCAGACAAAGCAGCTTCACCGGAGCTGGGTGATGCAGCATCCCCACTCTCATTTCCATATCATGACGGAGCAGCATCCTCTGAACTTCCCCATCTAATCATCAACATCATCAGCCTCACCCGTAATATCTCATGAGATGGCCTTGACCATCAATATCAACCAAAAGGCCTCTGAACCCTGAACCACAATTTCGACGAGTCCTGAGGGAACTGGAAAAAGTGAGTGCCCCATTGCGCTTGCATCGCGGCGTAGGGTGCAATGGCAGTGCCTGCGCAGCCAGAGTCCAACTGCAGCTCTAGGGAGTTTAGGGGTTTAGGGGTCTAGGGTTTAGGTTAGGTACTGCCCACATACAGTAAGAGTCTATAGTAGTGCTAGTATTAAGGTCCCAATATGTCTGTATTATGAATATTATTCAACTATTACTGCGTGGAGGCCGTACTCAAGGTTTAGGGATTAGGGCACAGACATTGAGTCAACAAACTTTCACACGAGCACGTCAGCTAACGCGAAGCATAGCAAATAATGGACGCAGCTTGAAGCTTACATATGGATGATGATGTAAATGCTGCATTACTTTCAGGACCCTAAACTATGGAAATTATAGTATGTTCCTTATTATGGGTAATGCAGGGTTTTTATCATCAACCGTATCAGCTTTATGGACTCGGCGGTGTCAGATCCGCACCTGTGCGTTTCTGCATCCGGGGATCAGAGTCCTATCGGGGTCTGAAGTGTCTGAAGGATTCCCAAATTCCCAAATGTGTTCCGGGATCGTCCTCAGCATAATAAACCTGCAAACTGACCAAAACCCAGTCTATTTATCACGGCGCCTCTACTAAAGTTTCATGGCCTCCTTGAAGTGGGACCTACGGTTTCGGGCTCAGGGCTTGGGCGACTAAGAGAAATCGCTCTTAGAAGCAACTTCTGAAGAGCGGCACTGCGCTTGGCAGCAACTTCAGCATGCGGAACTATCAGCATCTATCAGCCCAGAAAATACAACCTTGATGCATTCAAGAACAACAACATCATCATCATCATCATCATCATCATCATAATTATCATCGTTGTTGCTATGGCGTTATGATCAGCATCATCACTGTCATCTTCATTTTCAAACCTCCAGAACTCAGTTTTGTCGATGTGCGTATACACATAGCATTGGATGTACATGCGCATGTGTCCGTGTATCACTTGCTAGATTTCTGCGAATATCCAACACCACATGCAATGCACACACACACACACATGAATATATATATATATATATATATATATATATATACACATACATGCATGGCCTGTACGTATGCAAATCTAGGTAAACTTCTACAAAGACCTGGAAATACAAGCATGTTTCAGTACATGTACACTGTACATATCCAGATGGATAAAAGGAGCGACGGGTGAACAGATAGACAGAGAGACAGATCGATAGATAGATAGACAGCTAGGTAGATAGACAGGTGGATACACAGATGGATGGATCGATGGAAAGATCGATATATGGAAAGACGGATGGATGGATGGATGGATGGATGGATGGACGGATGGAAGGCGGGATGGATGGATGGACGGACGGATGGATCGATAGGAAATTAAAGAGGCGTCTACATTCATATACATGTGCCTGTACCTATCTATCTATTTACCTATCTATCTGACTAGGCATATACGTAAATATATAGTATGTATGTATGTACATATATGTATTATATGTACTTGCATGCCTGTCACATACGTACCCCACCCCAGCTTGACAATTGAAGCTCGACGGATGGAAGTCACGCCTCCGAAACGACTCGCATCGATGGAAGACTGGTCGCTGTTGATCTTAGGCCGGGCGGGAGGCGTAGGGAGCTTAGGAGGCTGGATAACGTAGGGGTTTCAATGATAAGAACAGGATAGGGTGTTAGGGTTTAGGGTTTAGTTTAGGGTTTTTGGTTTATAAGGTTTAGGGTTTAGGATTTCGTGGGTATATTTATACTATACATTTAACCACGAGGCGAAGGAACAAATATTGCAAAGTACTAAGGCGGTCCTTGGGGGGGCCTAAGGGGACTTAGTAAGTAGATTATAGGTAGGGTTATAATTGGGGTAACTCCATTTAGGGTACTTATAACTCTACTTATAACCTACTTACTAAGTCCCCGGCCCCTCCAAGTAAAGCCCTAAACCCTTAACCCCATAGATCCCGAAAAGGAATCCTATAGATCCCTTTAAGGAGGCTTTTAAGAACCCTTGCTAAGTCCCCTGCCCCTCCAAGTAAAGCCCCTTCCAAAACAAAATCTCACAGAGACAGGGGCCCCTCAGAAAACTCCAACGGTCCAAGGAAGGACAGTACTACTGTTGATGAGGGTACCTTTAGGGGGCTCCTATAGGGATCTATAGGGTTTAGGGTTTAGGGTTGATGGTATATATCCTGCATTACCCATAACAAGGAACATACCATAATTTCCGTAGTTCCGGGTCCTTAAGGTAGTGCAGGATTTACATCATCAACCGTAGGATGCCCAGTAACCTAGGAATAGAAAGGGCTCCCTTTTCGGTATTGGGTAACTTTATGAGTAACCTAGGACTACAAAAATGGAATAAGGGTACTACTGGGCATCCTAGAGTATGATTCAGGGCACGACATTATCCAAACCCTAAGCTCTAGACCCTGACCCTAAAGCCCCAGACCCTAAAGCCTAAACCCAAAACCCTGGACCCCACACCCTAAACACACTAAGCCCAATCTCTAAAACAGAAAGCCCAACTGCACTCTAGTCCCCAAGCCTTGTAAAATCTTAATTAGCCCTAACACCCCCGAAGCCCTATATCCAACCTGAACAGAAAGCCCAACTCTCCTCAACCCTAAACCCTAAATACATTCGAGTCTCTGACAGCTATGTGGTCCGTCAGGAAGCATCTCCTGTCTCCGACAGAGTTCATGACGCACCTGACCAGCCCCTTGGTTAGGACGCTCGGATCGGTCACGACGTCCTCTCTTGTGAACACTCCTCCGAGGACTCTCGCCATAAGAGTACCCGTGGTATGTATCTGCTTCATATATAAACCCTTAACCCTAAACCCTAAACCCCTAAACCCTAAACCCCTAAACCCGAATCCCTAAACCCCTAAACCCGAATCCCTAAACCTAAACCCCTAAACCCTAAACCCTGAACCCCTAAACCCGAATCCCTAAACCCCTAAACCCTAATCCCTAAACCCCTAAACCCGAATCCTTGAACCTAGACCCCTAGTCCCTAAACCCTAAACCCTAAACCGGAATCCCTAAACCCCTAAACCCGAATCCCTAAACCTAAAGCCCTTATCCCTAAACCTAAACCCCTCATCCCTAAACCCTAAACCGTAATCCCTAAACCGTAATCCCTAAACCCTGAACCCTTAAACCCTGAACCCCCAAACCTTTATCCCGAAACCCCTCAACCCCTCAACCCCTCAACCCCTAAACCCCTAAACCCTAATCCCTAAACCCTAATCCCCGAACCCTAAACCTTAAACCCTAACCTTAAACCCTAAACCGTAATCCCTAAACCGTAATCCCTAAACCCTAACCCCTAAACCCTGTACCCCTAAACCCTAATCCCTAAACCCTGAACCCCTAAACCCTAATCCCTAAACCCTAATCCCCGAACCCTGAAGTCTCTAAAGAAAGCCCAACTCCCTTCAACCCTAAACCCTAAAACCCCCAAGCCCTTAAACCCTAAACCCCCCATCCCTAAACCCTAACCCCCGAGCCCTCATGGGAGCTCCAGAAAGTTGGAATATGGCTTCAGGGTAGGATACCTTATAATTTACCATAGCTAGACCCAAGAGTAACCTAGGAAAAAAACGGGTGCCCTTTTTGGTTTAAAGGGAATAAGGGCCTACTCTAGGTCCTAGATAAAGGGTTTAGGATAATCATATTCCAACTTTCTGGCTTTTACTTTAAAGTCCTAAACCGTAATCCCTAAACCCTAAAGAAAGCCCGACTCCACTCTGGGACTCCCCGGCCCAACGCCGGAAGTCACCGTCGGGCCAAAAGCCTTCAGGAGCGACATTTAAGGGTTCCTTTAAAGGGATCTGTAGGGGTACCTTCAGGGGCTTCCTTGAAGGGATCTATAGGGTTTAGGGCTTAGGCTTGATGATGTAAATCCTGCATGACCCCTAAGGACTCTAAAGTATGGGAACGATGGTATATTCCCTATAATGGATAATGCAGGATATTTTGTCCATCAACAGTATGGCTGATGATAGAAGACCCGGGGTTCCTTTAAGGGGATCTATAAGGATACCTTTAAGGCTTAAGGGGCTCCCTTAAGGGATCTATAGGGCTTAGGGTTTAGAGTTGAGGATAAAAACCATGCCCAGGATAAGGAATATACCATAATTCCCATAGTTTAGGGCCAGGTCATGCAGGATTTATATCATCAACCATACTCCGCTTCAGGGCAAAGGAGCACGAGAGTTTAGGGTTTAGGGTTTAGGGGTTTAGGGTTTCGGGGTTTAGGGTTTAGGGTACGGGTTACCGGGTGTACGTTTTTTGGCTAAGGGTTTAGGAGTTTAGGGGCTCATGTATGTGTTTAGGGTTTAGGGCTTTAGGAGTTAAGGGTCTACGGCAGTCGGTGCTTAGGATCCAAAGACTACCATTCCAGAATTAGGTCCCCCTGCAAAACCAGGTCTTTGCTGGGCCTACTTCTATGATGGCACTGCAGGGGCCTTCATTACTAGAATGGAATTTGAGGGCTTATCTAAGGAACACTGCTAGCACTTATTCCAGCTTCTACAGTAGTCATTAGTCATTAGTCTATACGTGACTTCAGAATGATAGTAGGGTTTCAAACGGCTACAACATGGTTCAGCTTCCAGAATACACCTGGACCCTTTCGGTGTGAATTTGAGTACAGATGGAGAGAGAGAGAGAGAGAGAGAGAGAGAGAGAGAGAGAGAGAGAGAGAGAGAGAGAGAGAGAGAGAGAGAGAGAGAGAGAGAGAGAGAGAGAGAGAGAGAGAGAGAGAGAGAGAGAGAGTCAGAGAGAGTCAGAGAGAGTCAGAGAGAGTCAGAGAGAGTCAGAGAGAGAGAGAGAGAGAGAGAGACAGAGAAAGGGGAGAGAGATAGAAATAGATATAAAGAGAGATTCTGCTAACAGTCAACAAACACACTCATGCATGATCCAGGACGGCAAATTCCGATGGCCCGGAGTTCAAAGTGTTTCTGAGGTCATCTGGATGGGGTTCGAAATGTGGTCCCCCAAAAATAGACCTACAACTTAGGGCTTGCGGTTTAGGATAAGGGTTTAGGGTTTAGGGTTAATTTAGGAACCGTAGCATAAGAAAGGCCTCCAACTTTAAGACACAGAAAGATTGGGCTTTGGACCGGAAGACCCTGGGGAGCAAGGTTTCATTCAGGTTTGACACAGGCTTTATCGGGGAATTTAAGCAAAAGTTCTAACAGGGCTTGATGATGCTTAACAGAGTTTTGCCAGGATCAAGGTTTGAGGCAACAGGTCTGACAGGCGTGTGACATGTGAGTGCAGGGTTCTTTGCTTCCCTACGATATGGTCTGCACATCTTGTCTTTGCTGGCATCGTATGCCCTTCACCCCAGCTTCTCAATCAGCCTCTACCCTTTCGTGCCTTACTACCTCGCGGTAGTTTGATCATTGTGGTAAGCTGTGATTAGGGTGGGGAGGTCTGTGCACGACGACCCTGACTAAACAACGCTAAACAATGCTGGAGAGCGAAACCCACTTGTGCGCCCTGCTGCCCCGCAAGCCTAAAACTATCACAACTGAACTGACTGATTTAGCATGATACACGAGAACCAGAGACAAATGCCGACAGGCAGCCAATGTGTCGGCGAGTATGGTTGATCCGATCGATGCCGAAGTCGCAGTCAAATCCGAGACATTTGATGACGTGGTCGATGTTTTCGATGACCTGCTTTGTTCCCCAGGATTTCAAAAACGTACATACGAATGTATCGAGTGTGGGTTCTGCACCTACAAAGCCCCAAACCCCAAAAATCCAGACCCAAATCCTGAAACGCAAAACCCAACCTCCCCGGTTGCGGTTCTGAGGTTCGCGATAATTGCATGCATGCATGGATGCATGTACGCATGCATGTATGTAAAGAGCAAGGGAGAGAGAGAGAGAGAGAGAGAGAGAGAGAGAGAGAGAGAGAGACAGAACGAGAGAGAACGAGACTAGAGCGAAGGTCTGGGATTTGCGACCAAAGCTTATTATAGACGTCAAGCCTGTGCCGCTGTGGGCCGTAGGATTGAGGTCTAGACATGTGCGAGATTTACTTTCTATGGTTATAAGGTTAGGGGGTTCGCGACATTCTGGTCGAGGGGTGGATGGTTTTGTGGCAAACTTTTCAGTTCACAATTTGTAAGCGATCCGCTCCCACGGTAGCGAGGTTATAAGTTCCAGCAGCGGACACACGTCTTCATGCGACTTGTCGAACGGCTCATTTCAAACATGAGACCGATTTCCGGAACTCCAGACCCCTAGTCCGCCCATTTCACTCTGAACCCTCAGAAACTCTGGTAACACTCCCCAAGTATGTCGCTTTGGCTCTCTTGAGCCCCTAAACGCCAAACCGCATGTCATAAAACCTAAACCCTTCAATTCCATTTCCTTCACACCCCCAACACCTGAACCTCATAGACTTCAGTAAAGGTTCCGCAGCGCCAACAACTTGAGGCTAACCCTTGTGAAATCCTAAGCCTTTCACCTAGGTCTTAAACAGCTCACTGTACACACAAAGTCGGTGCTGAAACCATTCGTTGAACTCGCAAGACCCTATAAACCCTGAAACCCCTACACAATCCTTCCAAAATCCTCCAAGGAACCTTTACGGGACTCCTAAACCCCTACAGGATCCGCTTAGAACATAATTCTCCAGAAACCCGTGACGGATCCTGAACACACGCCTCGAAAAAATTAGTGGTAGAGTCCCCTTCTCGCCCTTATATGAAGTCTCGTAGAATATACACCAAACCCTATCCCAGTTGTTCAGACCCCTAAACCCTACACAAGAAACATTAAACCCACACTAAACCGTAAACCCCGGACTACACCCTAAACCCTAAACCCCTGCACCCTAAACCCCAATTCCTAAACCCTAAGCCCCTAAACCCCTAAACCCTGAACCCTAAACCCCTAAACCCATAAATCCTAAACCCCTAAAACCCTCCAGTTAACTCCTGAGGCCCCTGGCGAGGCCGTTGGTGATGACGGCTGTCCTCGGCTTCCTTGGGCCATCTTTTCGCGTTTCTAGGGGACCAGGGACGCCATATCTTCCGCTCTTGTAGTCGGGATCTCGGCGTATTTAAGCAATGCTTGTTCGGAACAAGCATTGCTTAACCTGTTCGGATCTGTGGGGTGCCAGGGGCCTTAATAATTAGAGCAGGTTGTGTTTTTCGTTGGGGGTGGTATATTATACAAAACTTACAAAAAGGACCCACCCCCCCCCCCCCCCAAAAAAAAAAAAAAGTCACTATTGTAATTATTAAGGCCCCTGCGTTAGGGGGTTCGGGGGCTTCGGGTCTGGGGTTTCGGGTCGAGGGCTTAGGGTTTCGGATTTGCACTTGCTTGAACGGGTGGGGCTTTGGTGCGTTCGGGGAGGGCTGTAGGATGTAGAGCGTGGGGGTCTTGATGCCAGATCAGAATTTGTTTTTAAGCGCCTCTTGGTACACTTCGTACACTCGAAGTGATTTAGGACCAATGGTTCGAGTTTGGTCTAAAAACCCCAAACCCTAATCGTTGAACATGGGGTTTGAGCTTGGAAGGTCAGGGGGTTTCCCTACACCCCCCAACTACCCTGCAATATACCCTAAACTACCCTGCAATATACCCTAAATACCCACTATTAAGAGCCATAAGGGCTCTATCACTACCCTGCAATATACCCTAAATACCCACTATTAAGAGCCATAAGGGCTCTATCACTACCCTGCAATATACCCTAAATACCCACTATTCAGAGCCCTAAGGGCTCTATCACTACCCTGCAATATACCCTAAATACCCACTGTTAAGAGCCATAAGGGCTCTATAACTACCCTGCAATATACCCTAAATACCCACTATTAAGAGCCATAAGGGCTCTATCACTACCCTGCAATATACCCTAAATACCCACTATTCAGAGCCCTAAGGGCTCTATCACTACCCTGCAATATACCCTAAATACCCACTGTTAAGAGCCATAAGGGCTCTATAACTACCCTGCAATATACCCTAAATACCCACTATTAAGAGCCATAAGGGCTCTATTAAGACACACTTGGGGGTCCTGGTCGGGGCCTTCTTCGGAGCCTTCGGGGCCTTCGGGGCCTTGGGAGCCTTCGGAAGGTTCGGACTTTGGCATTTAGAACACACGGTTTAGGGTTTAGGGTTTAGGGTTTAGGGTTTAGGGTTTAGGGTTTAGGGTTTAGGGTTTAGGTTCTCTAAGAGGTATAAAGGGAACTCCAGAAAGTTGGAATATGGTTTCAGGGCAGGATATCCTATAATTTACCATAGAGGGGTTTAGGATAATCATATTCCAACTTTCTGGCTTTTACCTTTAGAACCTGAGACTCTCAGGCTCAGGGCCAGGGAAGGAGGACTGCTTAAAGGATCCTGGGACTTAGTAACTAGGGTTCCTTAAAGGGTTCCTTAAAGGGGCTCCTTTTTTAAAGGGATCTAAAAGGGTTCTATAAGGGTTTTAAGGTCTACTTAAAGGATCCTGGGACTTAGTAACTAGGGTTATTATTGGGGTAACTATACTTATACTTACTTATTACCCCCCATTAAGGGAATTATAGCCATACTTACTAAGCCTCCAAGTGCCGGGAAAGTCAAAGACTCCTGAAGTGCCAAGGGTGGACTCGGGGGCCTCAAAAGGGAGGATGAAGGTAGGTGGGATATTCCCCAGATAAGAGTCCTTATATAAGGGATCCTCAGTCCCACCTACCTTCATCCCACCTTGTGACTGTGAGGCCTCCGGGTGGACGAGGGTTCGATGTTTATGTGCCTTCGTTTGGGATTTTGAGGTGTATTAGGAGTGGAGTGACGACTATAAGAGGAAACGGATACGACAAGTAACTATTGAACTCCCACAGTAAAGGGTTTGGGGGTAGGTTACCTTGGCCCACCAGCCGCTGAAAGCACAAAACTGTGCCCTGTGTGCAAGCGATGTGTTGGTGAGGCTCTACAGGGGTCTACATTGCAAGCACTTATAGGCAATCTTTCCAACCACTAGAGCGGCGCACCAGGTAGTCCGGCTCCGCAGAATCTTCCCTCAAATTGTGGCAGGATGTAATCTTCGGGGCTGGGCATCCTAACCCAAAACGGGTTAACCTTTTCAAGTATGGTAGGGTTATATAGACCCCAAAAGGTTTAAGTTTACCTACTCAGCTACGCAGTAATGCACCTTTTGAAATTTGATGGGTTTCGGAGTCTCTGCCTAGTAGCTAACCCAGTCAGAACCCTGAAAACATCCCTTGAAGGAGCCCAAGAAGGATCTTTAAGAGGCTTCCGGGTCCAGTGCCCACCCTAAACCCCAAACGCTCAGTGCACTAAACCCCCAGACCCTCAATCCTAGAACCTCCGAAATCTCAACCCTTAACCCCGGGCCCCGAACGGAAATCCCAAAAAACCCTGTACCCTAAACCCTAATCCCTAAACCGTAATCCCTAAACCCTAATCCCTAACCCTAAACCCCTAAACCCTAAACCCTAATCCCTAAACCCTAAACCCTCAGACCGCCGAATAAACCCTCAGACCGCCAAACCCCGTGCCCCTGACGGAAACCCAAGCGCAGGGGCCCAGGCAAGCGCTTGACCTGGCCTTCCACCGTCTCCACCTTCCTAGGGCAGGAGCTGAGAGTCTACCTTTCAGGATCATGGGACTTAGTAACTAGGGTTCCTTAAAGGGCTCCTTTCAAGGGATCTAAAAGGGTTCTACAACGGGGATTTTCAGTCTACTTGAAGGATCACGGGACTTAGTAACTAGGGCTATTCTTTGGGCCACTGTACTTAAAAGCACTTGTTGCCCCAACAAGGTACTTATAACATCTTATAACCATACTTACTAAATCTCATGGTCTTCCAAGTAGCGTTTAGGGGGGCTGCAGGGGCTCTTTCAAAGGGTTTGAGGTTCAGGTGGGCTGTACGAAAACCGTTTAAGGATTTTCGTAAGACATCATCCTGTTCGAAGCAAGCCGGAACAGGCAAGCCCTGGATGCCTCAAACGGTACGGTTTAGGGGTTACAGGGTCTAAAGGGTGTGGGGTTTAGCGTAGGTGGGACCTTAGGATGAAGGATCCCTATGCAAGAGCAGAAACTTTGGAAGTGTTACACCTAACTCCTTCAAATAGTATAGGCCCCTACGTTAAGCATTAAACCCCGAACCAGAAGCCGAAACTGTGAAAAATTGTGGGAGCTCCTGCTGGTGTCATCATCAACTGAGCTCTCTGCCCGTAGTGAACTCCAAGGAAATACACATCGCCAATGCCCCACCTGTGCTGCGTCCAGGCTTTGGGGAGTTCAGGGCAGAGTTCGGGTTTATAAGGCCCCAAACCCAAATCAGGGTTTAGGGTTTGGGGGTTTAAGGGCCCCAAATTACAATTAGGGATATCCCTGTCAAATGCGCATGGCTGCCACATTCAGGATAGGGATATCCCAAAAAAACTACCCCATGGTGAAGCCCAACGTGGGATCTCACTGTGAAATGCGTATGCCCGTGTCCTCTTTCTTGGAGGATCATACTTATAAGTATAGTTACCTTAATAATAACCCTAGTTACTAAGTCCCATGATCCTTTAAGTTGGGTCCCTGATTTTAGGAATTCGGGGCTTGGGTTCTGGGATCGTTGTTTCCTCACTAGGCGGTGAAACAAAAAGGGCCCCCAAACAGCACATGAGCGAAACAGGTTAGGGATATCCCATTTATAAGCCCCCTTAGAATGAAACCCAATAGGGTAGGGATATCCCTATCAAGTGCTTATGCTTATGTGCTTTTTGGGTCCCTAAGCAAACTCAGCCCGTCACCAACTGAAGGAAGCGGCACCTTCCCGAACTCCCACGGCACGATCATGATCCCTCATAGCTTATCCCAAACTCGAGGGAAGCATAGAGGGATATCGAAGTAAGCATACATGAAGTAGTATAGGGGACTGAAGAATACACTTTTAACATTCCGTCAGCCCTGATCGATCTATCTATCTGGCTGATGTAAGATACCCCAAACCCCATTCCAATCATCAAGGCCCCTGTGCTACCCCTGTACTGCTCTTACTTACCACAGAACCCTTCTGCAAGGCCTTTAAAGAACCTTCAAAGGGGAATTTCTAATCAAAACCCAGTCCAACTACTACTCGCCGTTCGCAGGGTTCTTCGTTGAAGCGGGGCGAGGCTCGAAAGGCTGAGCGCTTCGAGGTTTACCGGGTTTAAGGGCTTAGGGGTTCAGGGGTTCAGGGGTTTAGTTTAAGTGCTTTGTCTATACCCCCCTTGGAACCATAATTAAAAAACATGTTTAATATTCTCTTGGGTTTTGTATGAACAAAAATGGAAAATCCTAAGGGTACTATAGTGTAAGTAGTACCGACTAAAAGACTTGGGGCTGTTTAAAGTCTTGGGTTTCGGATAAACCTTCAACCTTGCACCATGCATTTACATGGTCGAAAACGAAATCGAAACGAAGCCCTCCATCTAGCTGCGCCTAATAATCTTGGAGAAAACCTTCAATAGATCATAGATCCAATGAAAAGTTCGAACATGTGGCTTGGGGCTTAAAGCTTACGGCTCAGGATTCAGGCTCTTGGGTCTTAAGTGGCGAAGCTTCGTAGAATTGTAGATTTTCGGGGCATGCAGGGTGCAACAAGTCTAGCATTCCAAATGAGCTGAGTATTGCTTACCCCTGCAATCAAAAAGTGCACAAGAAGGATCTAACTCTGCAGAAACGCTGCCTACAACGAGACTCCTATACCCTAAGGCTCCTCAGTGTTCCTTTCTCTGGTCCATGTTTAGGATCCTATAAGGCAAGCCCAACAAGGAACTACAATGGAGCCTACTTGGAGGGGCAGGGGACTTAGTAAGTAGGTTATAAGTAGAGTTATAAGTACCCTAAATGGAGTTACCCCAATTATAATCCTACTTATAACCTACCCACTAAGCCCCCTGCCCCTCCAAGGATGGGCACCCTACAAGTACGGGCAGAGCCCGAAAGCTCCCTCCAACCTAGACTGATGGGAGGCCAAAAGGGGGGTTTAAGATTCTTGGGGTAGGGATTCCTTAATATGAGCCCTATTATGGGAACCCTATTCCCTACCAAACCCCCATGAAGCTAAAACCCCTTTTGGCCTCCTATGATAGACTGCTTCTCTGATCGGCTTAAATCCCTTAGGTCTTCGGGGCTAGACTTATGGTGGGGTTAAGGGTTTAGGGTGTACCTGTGGATCCAAAAACCTACTGTTTTAGGGTTTAGGCCCTATAATTTAAGGGTCATAATCTACTAGTCTGTAGGGTTTGGGATCATAGGGTTTAGGGTTTGGGGCTGAGTACCAGAAGCAATACAGAAGCCTGAAAAACTTGTATACTAAACCCCAAAACCCTATTTTTTAGTCATTCAGGCCCCTACATTACTGCGGAGCGGTGCACCTGGTGTACTGCTTGATGCTAGCAACCGAGCGGTCTGCATTGGTCTGCACCTAAGAGACGCAGAGAGAGCTGGATTCGCATGCTACACCCCAGGATAAGCAATTTAAGGAGGGTCAAAGGGCAAAAGAACAGCGGGGTTTTCGTTCAGGAAAACTACACTTTGATATACTTTGACTGGGTGTCTAGTGCCTAGCCCTCGAAATATACTTGGGCCCCTGGTGTTCGTACCACCCACCAACTTGAGCCTGCAAGCAAACATAGGGCATGGTACGAACCGTGGGATCGAGAAAAAGGTCCCGACCCTTGAAATCTGAAACCCCAACTAAAACGATACCCTGTCTGAACCCCTTAAGAAACCATTGCAGGAGCCCTTAGAGGAACGATTAAGAAGACGCTTAAGGAGCATTTAACAGAACCCAAGAACACAAACCCTGCTCTTCACAGCCTTGCTAAGGCTTGCGCGGAATAGTAGCTCCATGGATCTTTGCCATAGTACCTTTTAAAGTGTTTTACGTGCTCTTTTCCGGGTTCTTAGTGACTTAGTGTTGTTTCTACGGAAAAGGTATCTTTGCAAGCCGAAACCCTAAACCCAAAACCCTAAACCGTTGCTTTTCCAGGGGGAGGCTGTCGAGGCTCCTTTGAAGATTCTGGTCGCAGCAAGGGATTTGAAGCTTTTTGCGCTATCCAATGACACAGCGGCTAGCAGAGGTCAGGTGTTTGGGAAGAAAGCTTGAATCATGTGATACAAATGATAGAAACATAAAATTCGCCTTGTCTTGAGCAACGCCCCCCAACAACAGGAGCAGTGAAAAGAAACGACAATCGCAGAAAGCTGCCAACTCTAAACCCTAAACCCTAGACCCTAAACCCTAAATCCTATATACCCTAAACCCTACACCCTAAACCCTAAAACGCTGCCCTCCGCGACAAACCTTCAGCTAGCCTTGACAGTCTGCTTTCAGTGTGAAGAGCCGCTTCAGGGCGGCACTCGTTGTCGTAGGGTTTAGGGTTTAGGGTCTAGGGGTTAGGGTAGCTTGGTGCTGCATCGTTGTGTGCCTTAGTGTTTTTCACCGGGTGTTCACCGGGAGCACAAGACACGTTCTGGGGGAGTGGCGCTCTGCGTAAGCCCGACAAAACATGTATGCGGACTCTGCAGTGAAGCAAGTTTGTGGCTTCACGTACACCCCACACACCCCTGAACCACCTGAAACCTAAACCCCAAGCCTCAAAGGACACAAACCCTAAGCTTTGCACAATAACTTTGAGAAAAGCCCTATAAACCCTAAACTCTAAAATCCTGAACCCTAAACCGCAACCTCATCGCCTTGACGGAACCACCTCTCTGGGTTTCGGCCGTTTGGGACGCCTAACCGTTCGATCCGTCTACTTGGAGGATCATGTGACTTAGTAAGTATGGTTATAAGTACCTTCATGGGGATTATAAGGGGTTATAAGTATAGTTACCCAAAAAATAACCCTAGTTACTAAATCCGATATTCCTTTAAGCACACTCAAGGGGGTCGGGTTCGCAGCTTAGGGGTTTAAGGCGTAGGCTCTGTGGGAGTTTCCGAATTTTGGGGTACCTTATTTTGGGGTCACCTCCTCCTGCTCGTCATGACCGCCAGCCAAGCCACCCACTATTTGGGCTTAACATGATTCGAGGTTTAGGGTTTAGGGTTTCGGATTTAGGGGACAGTTTCTGAGGATTCCCGTGGCGTTCGCTTTGGCCGCTGCCAGGTAATATGGGACCCTTAATAATTAGAATAGGGCTTTGGGACCCATTATACTATGTTTATAGTAAGGAACCGAAAAAGTAGTGTAGGTGATTTTTACGGCCCCTTCATTATGAGGTCGCAGCGCGCTGTCTTCGCACACCCCATGTTGGCCAACGACTCCAGCGTCCAGCGCAAAGTCCGGGTCTGCCACTGCGTGTTGTACAGGCATGTCATGCCTGCTTTGAGGTTCATGGGTAGTTGTAAGTGGGGTTATAAGTGCCCTAATGTGGGCTAAAAGTATAGTTATCCTATTATAAACCTACTTATAACCACCCATGGACCTCCAAGTGCTTCGCGACCGACACACCATCCAGAGCGGCGGCAGGGAAATCGCAGGTGGCTCACCAGGAGCCTGCCGCTCACGTTCCTGGTCACCCTTTCAGGGGTCTCCATGTTTGTGTGAGGACTCTAAAGGACTCGATGTGTTCATGTGTTCCTTATAGAGGTCTTTCGAGCAGCCTTCTGCAAACCGCTGAAACCGTAATTTGCAACCCTAAACCTCACAAACCTCGATGCAGATGTTCCTGCTGAAGGGACTTGCCGGCGTTCGGACGGCATCGGAACTTGACCACCACCAGAAACAGCACCATCACCACTACCACCACCAACAACAACAACAACAATAGCAACAATAGCCTGGGCGGTTATCCCAGTCTCTTGAAGAATAGCAATCACCACCATCAGATGCTGTTACTGTTCATAATGCTGATAAACACACTCTCTCTTGAAAAGAAATTAAGAATGACCAGAACTGTTTTAAGGTGTTAAGGAACCCCTGAAAAGAAACCCTTGAAGGACTCCTTTAAAAGGAAACCCGAAAAAGAACCCTCAAAGGAACCCATAAGAATGACCGGCGCACTTGTACATGGGCTCCATGGCGCGAAGCACCGTGGCGGCGGGGGCCGGGGCCCGCGTTTGGTTGACGTACCAGGACCTCACGGCTTTCCTTAAAGGATCATGAGACTTAGTAACTACGTTTATTTTTATTAATGTAACTATATTCTTCTGCCAGGTGTAGAGTCAACGTAACCTGCCAGATGTAGAGTCGAGGTAACTGTATATTTATATTTACTTATAACCGCAGTTCAGATACCTATCACCATATACTTATTCAGTCCCATGATCCATCAAGTAGGGTTCAGAGTTTCATGAATTACTTACTGGATGAGAGTTTGGGGTTTGGGATATCGGCTTGGTGGCTTCATGGCTCTTGGGAAAGTTCTTTATATCACTTCGGCATGTCATATGCTGGAGTCATAGCAACACCGGAAACGGTCCCGGTACATTCTGTACTATCGTACGCTATAAGAGCGGCAGCTGTACCGAAAAGCTGGTCTTCCCTTCCTTGGATGCGATGCCGTCGAGCTACCCATGGTTGCAATTAGTGTCGAGGCCCTGGACTATCTCAGGCTGAGTGCAGATGCGCAAACCTCAACCCCAAACCACTGAGCCCAAATCTTAAACTCAAGGTGGGTGTCTGAAAATTAAAAAAAATTCTTTCAGGTATCTAGAACCGAGATTTCGCCTGTCGCAAGTAACTCTGTCCCCTATACTAAACCCTCAACCCTTCAATCCGTAAACCCTAAACCCTCAACCCTAACCCCTAAACTCCCACACCTTAAGCATTCTCGGTTGGTTGGGATGGACTTATGACATTCGGGTTCCTAGGCTGCGTGGTTCAAGATCGGGATCCCGTGCCACTATAGAGTTCACAAGGGCCGAGGGTGCTTTGTATAGCAGCGCCGCACTTTAGGGTTAGGGGTTAGAGTCTAGCTTGCAGGGGTCTGGGTTCTGGGTGGTTTCGGGGTAGCTCAGGGGCCCAAACCTTGAAACAGTCATAGGGAAACCTCAGCCCGAAAGCTTTGGAGATGCTCAGCTGTGCACAGCACCCTGGGCAGAAGCAAGTTGTGATGCCTGCAAGCGGTCATGCTTCTGAGTTCGGGTTTCGGGTTAAGATGGATCCTAGAATCTGTCCTAGAACCAGTAACCAAAATCAGAGATTTGTGGGTGAAGGGATATCAGGTCAGGGTGTCGTCTAGCTTCTAGACAAGGCTTCTGGACTAAACCCTAAGCCCTCAACCCTAAACCCGATTCAGATCCCGGGCCTCGTTGGAGAACTATACTTTTGGAGCCTTCATAAATTGAATCGGGTCCCTTGAGAGGGTTCTATGAGGCTTCTATTGGGGGTTTTAGGCGGTTTAGGGGCCTTCATAATTAGAGTAGGGTTGGTGGGGGGGTATGCTACACTATAGTAAAGACCTCCTTCACTACAGGTGCAAGAGATCATGCAGCCCACTCAAGCCCAATCCTGCGCCCCTTGAGCCCCAAACTTCCTAAACCCTCAAAAAGAAATACAGAGAAATTGCTTGTCATTGTTTACCCTAAACCTTAAATTCCATGTTCTGAGCCTCAACCCCCAAACTCGAAAATCTATCCGCAGATATGAATGAAGATTAAAGCAACAGCACAAGCCGCATAAAACACTTCTGCAGAACTTGACTTAGGTTTTATGGCTTAGGGTTTGCCCTTGCTTGGGGAATTCCTATTGTCGGTCGAGCCTTGCGATCACGTAGAACTTCCCAGAGTTGTGCTCCATGAGGGTACGGATGTTTTCGACCTCACATGAAACGATTAGCGACTCAGGGCTTGCAATCCGCGTTCCGATGCTGACACAATCCAAGCAAGCTACCTGAAGCCACAAAAAGCAGAAACCCTTAACCCTACCCCAAAACCACGAAAACCCCCAAAACCCTTAACCCTGATATCCCGAAACCCTAAACGCATGTATATAGGGAAAATGGGAGCCTCGTTCCGCAGAAATGTTCACTTCCAGCTCTGCAGAATTTACTGCAGAATCATTGGGTTTAGGGTTTACAGGGTTTTAGGGTTTAGGGTTCCGGGGCCTTCATTGTTACAACAGGCCCTTGCGGTACAGTGAAAAACCTGTCCAAACGGTGATTCGGGGTTCAAGGGATGGGGGTTGTTAGACTACTTGAAGGATCATGGGACTTAGTAACTAGGGTTGTTATTATGGTAACTATACTTATAGTTACTTATAACCCCAATTAAGGTACTTATAACCATACTTACTGAGTCCCATGATCCTCCAAGTAGCGCGACCCTCAAGAAAGGATCCTCCGCTGCCGGAAATTCGAGTTTTGGGCTTGGGGCTCCCAAAGGGTTCTATGTACCTGTATAGTAGAATGTAGGGTTTCTATATTCGGAATTACTGTTACGATCCAGGGAAGTATCCCCCATAACGGTACATAGGACCCTTTGGGGCTGCTTAGGGAGTTTATGCCATTGGGCTTTATGCGAGAGTTGCCGCCACATGGACCTCGAAACAACGGAGAAAGAAGTGGAGGATGAGGACATCGCAGACTCGAGCCAGCCTCCTGCCAATCATACCTGGACTGGAATTAGGCCATAACCCTGAACACGGATATCAAAAAATCACCACGTAAATGTAATGGACGTAGCATCTGTAAAGGGACAGGCATCGATACGTTCAGTTGATGTGCTTGAGACATCTGAGGTTCACCAACCAACATTACAAGTCCGACCCTTCCACCCTGATGTTTAAGGCCTAAAGGGCAGCCCAAAAAACGACCCCAAACCAAAGAAAGGCGAACCCTGAGCCCTAAAGGCCCTTATACCGGACCCCCCCCTCAAAACAAACCAAAAAACATACTCAACCCTGAACCACAAACACTAAACGGAGAGCCGATAGGATGGCTAAGGCAGACACTGCGAAAGCACCCATGCCGATCACCTTGGCCGCGGCACGTGACATCTTGCCATTCGGTGTTTGCCGTCCCACACCCATTCCAGATTGAGATAGAACTGTCCAACAGCGTCTGAGGTGTAAACGAATATATGTGCATTATACACAGACCTAGATACCTACATGTATATGTATATGTATATGTATATGTATATGTATATGTATATGTCTATGTCTATGTATATGTATATGTATATGTATATACATACACATACGAAAACACATACACATACAAATACACACACAGAAATTTATGATGTATGCATGCATGCATGCATCGAAAGTACTATAGATACTTGCTCGCCGTCAAGGGGCTCCTACAATGTAGTTAAGCCCATAGCCCAAATGCCTGAAACGACAAAACTCTAAACGTTTAACTGTAACTTCAATGGCCCGATTATGCGGTTGGGATATCTGTTTGCGCATCCGACTCGGCTCAGCAATCCGCTGCTCCTGCTGCTGCCTGCTCCTGCTCCTGCTCCTGCTCCTGCTCCTGCTCCTGCTCCTGCTCCTGCTCCTGCTCCTGCTCCTGCTCCTGCTCCTGCTCCTGCTCCTGCTCCTGCTCCTGCTGCTGCTGCTGCTGCTGCTGCCGCCGTGTTGGCGACGACGAAAGGAAGACGACTGACCAATGATTCTGCTGCCTAGAAGTTCGGATTTGTTAGCTTTGTTCGTGTGGGCCCTAAGGTACATTTCGTAGAATCTCGGGCATCCATCCGTTGATCCCGCCCTAAACCCTAAACCTCAAGAGGGACTCTAATTTTGACAACTACCCATCTGGGCTTCGGCTTTAGCTGTTATATCCCCCTGACCACCATAATAAAAATACTATGTTTAATATTCTCTTGGGTTTTATATGAACAAAAGCTGAAATATGAACGGACGCTGAAAACTAAGGAGACAATATTATCTTTAGAATTCTGGTGAGTTTTATATGAAGACAAAATCTAAAAAAATCCTAAGGAGACTATAGCTAGAAGCTTCGGCAAAGGCGGCCGGGCGTACAGAAAACATGGCCCCAGAAGGCAGGCGATGCCCAGAGAAGGGGATAGGGTTTAGGGTTATAGGGTTCCTTTAAAGGGATCTTCCTTTAAAGGGATCTATAAGGGTCCTTAAAAAGGGATCTATAAGGGGAAGGGATCTGTAGGGTTCAGGTTTAGGGGTTTTAGGGGTTTAGGGGTTTTGGGGTTTACGGGTTTAAGGGTTTAAGGGGTTTAGGGGTTTACGGGTTTAGGGTTTATAGATACCCGGGGTATCTCCACTACCCAGAAAAATCCATGTATACTACAATTACGGAATTTGTCCCCGAAACCATCAAAAAGATGGTCTTTTGCGCGACACTTTCGGCAGAAAAGCGCTAGAAGCTCACCGCGCCTTGAACTCACACAGTTCAATGCGGGCGTCGTCGAGCTGTGACTGCAAATCCTCATGCCCACAAGAACGTGGCAAGGCAATACGTATACTGAGCACGCTTCACCCAATCCACGATATGACATGTATCTCTGCCTTGGAGTGCGTCTCCAAAGACTCGAGCTTTTCGCTTGCCAGCTCGACTCTTCTCGTCTCATGCAATGGCAGCGAAAAATTTCCAAGCATGTCTCCAGATTCACAAGGCTGCAGCCAGACAGACTCTCATACATGCTTGGTGCACGCACATAAGTCACACATATGTACCTGTTGCTAATTCCAGCATGGTAGTATATATGGACTCTCTCAGTTAAGTTTCAGCATACCAAAAGGCCCAAAAAAGCTTCCATTACCTGTCTACACACTCAAAAATCCCCGGAAATCAAACCACCTGAATCCCAGAGCCTACAATTTACCCTAAATGCTAAACCCTAAACCCGACACCTGTAAACCCAAAAGGCCTCAAGCCCTAAGCTCTCAATCTCCACCGGCCCGGAACGTACAACTGTTCACCCAAACCCCAACAAGGGGTTTAGGGTTTAGGGTGCTTTTAAAGTTTAGAGTTTAGGGTTTAGAGTTTAGGGTTTAGGGTGCTTTTAGGGTTTAGGGTTTAGGGTGCTTTTAGAGTTTAGGGTTTAGGGTTCAGCCCTAAACACCGGGTGCGGCACGATACCACGCTGCTGCTGCGTGGCGGCATAGTTGAACTCGTCATTGAAGCCATAACCCACCTCTAGGTGCATGGGCTTAGTTTGGGCGGGCTTAGATTCACAACGATACTGTAGGACCCGTAACAATTAGAGTAGGTTTTCGTGGTCCTGTTATTGTACAACTCTAACCAGGTGGCCCAAGGAATCGTACTACTAAGTACTGACACGCTACTAGCCTTGAACCAATAACCCGAAGACGCAGGCCGCAGCCCCAAACCCGAAACCTTCTACAGGACTTAGGGTTTAGGCTTCGGTGTTTAGGGTTCAGGGCGGTAACCCAAACCGCCCTGAACCCAGGGCTCAAAACTTACAGGCTGTACTTGGTACGGCTTGGTGCCCAACCTTGCAAACATGAGCCGTGCGGGGGTGGATTGGTCCTACAGCCCAAACTCAAACCCCTTTCTTTAACCCTACAACCACTAGACTTTACAGCCATCACATCCCTAAACGACCCCAACTCCAAGCCCCTAAACCCTAGATGCCCTGAAAGCCTTAATCCCACAAAGCCCTTCCCCAAAGCCACTTGCCCGTGAAACCTCTATGAACTCTATACGCCCTAAACCCTAAACCTTCAACCCCCAAAGCCCAACCATAACAAGCCCAAACATGTCCTAAACATGTAGAAACCTAGTCTTAAAACCCCTAAAAAACCCCTAAGCTCTAAACCCTAAACCCTAAACCCTTAAGACCCCTAAACCCTAAACCCTTAAGATCCCTAACAACCCTAAACCCTAAAAGAAAAACTTAGGAGGCAACCCTAAAGAAGGCCTGGCCCCCGAAGATCTCCTCGCCAGGGAAAGTTTTCCTGGGCTTCCGCGCACAGCATCGGTTCATCAACTGGGGTTCGTTAAAGGGTTACCCTTAAAGGGCTCCTTTAAAGGGATCTGAAGGGTTCCATAATAGGGGGGTTTAGGGGTTTAGGGCCGTTTAGGGCCGTTTAGGGGTTTAGGGTTTAGGCACCGGACTCGTTCAAAAGTCGATAGACTCAAGAAGCCCTAGACGCGCCCTCAGCATCCCTACCTGCCCTTGATGAACCCTCTGTAAACCCAGAATCAACCCTACATACAACGTATAGAAGGTTTATTTAAGCCCAAACCCCTAAACCCGTTAACGCTCAATCCCTACACCCCTAAACCCGGAACCCCAACCCCCAAAATCCGTAGACTAGTGCACTGTCATTTTCAGGTGCTCAAGCAAAACAAAACCTTTACGAAAAGAACCCACGGCCTCAAATCATCCATGGAGGAAAGCCCTAAACTTCCCAGACTTCAATCAGTCAGGCGGCCGGTGTGGCATTGAAAGGGCACCCGGGAAGAAGCAGACGCAAGATGCCACGGTCTGGACGGGGCTTGAGGGCTTGAGGGCCGTTCAGGGTGGAGGGTTTTGAGGGCCCTCCACAGTCGATGGGTTAGGGCTCAGAATTGTCAAAGAAGGGTTTCTGCAAAAAGTCAAGTAAGGGGTTGATGAAAGGTTCTACCAGGGTTGCATAGTGCGAGGGCTTTTTTCCTAAGCCAAGCTGTAAAGGAACCGTCTTAACGCAAGACGCAGTGTGAGGGCTTTCAATACCAGAGCAGATTTTGAAGTCTACTTGTACTTTGACGAGCCCTCAAAGAAACCCTTTAAGGAATCATAGTCTACCCATAAAGGTGCCCACGACTTTGCAAAAAGGCAGATGCTTGATGACGTGGAGTCCGGCGTCTGAAGTCTCGGGTTTAGGGTCTACGATGTTGGGTCTGGGGTTTAGGGTTCCGGGTTTAGGGTTTAGGGTTTACGATTTCGGGTCTGGGGTTTAGGGTTCAGGTGTGTGGGGATGTGTAAAGTATCGAAGACACGGTCCTAGGATTTCGAGTTGCGGGTTACTTGGAGAGGCAGGGCACTCAGTAAGTAGGTTATACGTAGAGTTATAAGTACCCTAAATGGATCGAGTTACCCCAATTATAACCCGACTTATAACCTACTTACTAACTCCCCTGCCCCTCCAAGTAGACCCTAGACCCTAAACCCCATAGATCCCTTTAAGGAACCCTATAGATCCCTTTTAGGACCCTTTCTGACTCCCCTGCCCCTCCAAGCAGCTTTTTGCGAAGGTGTCTTTCCCCCAAGGGTAAAAGGAGGGACCCTTGATAAGGACCCCTAGGTATGTACCCTTAATATAGCTATTATATACCCATTATATAGCCCATTATAGGGTAGGGGTCCCCATTAAGGGTCCATCCTTTTCCCCTTTGATTTCCCCCAGTTGCTTCTTCAGGGCTTTTGGGTGTGTTGCGGTGAGGAGACGCCTCAATAATCAGAATAGGATTCTGGAGAATAATATATATATAGATATATATATATACACATACATACATATACATATATATATACACACATATTATATTCTACTGATCGTAAGGCACCCTGTGGAATATGTAGTATTGATAATTATCTGAGACCCTAAACCCCTTGAAATTAAGCATGCATCTGTGGAACTGAGTAAGAGTAAGGGCATCATTGCTGCACTTGCTGACTGTCTGCAAACCTTCCATCGTTGAAGGTCATGTCGCAGTCATTATGAGAAAACGCAGTGGGTGACTCCTCTCAAAAAGTAACCAAGCCGTTTACTCCAATGGCTAAACTAGGAGGTGGGACTTGCATGATCGTCGACATTGTACCTTCCTTGAGGACACAGAGGCTAGCGCTTGAGATCATGAAAGGATTGAGTGGGCAGCTGTTGCCCCAAACCAAAGCAAAACAAATTGAAAAGCTGAACTGCCAGAACAAGCGCAAGAAACCCCAGGTGCCAAAACCCGAAAATCTTACCGTGAACCCTCAACGTACAGCCTATAATCATGCACACGAAGGACGACAGCTAGCTCCTGAAGATCAACAAATGCTTTACCAAGCCTGACATACATCTCAATAGCCCTACACTGAACCCTAAGCCCAGCGCCCGGTAGACTCCAAACTCCCTTTCAAACGTACAAACTACGCCGCGACGCTCCAAATCTAACATGCATCTCAATAGCCCTGATACCCTCAGCCCCCTTATAGGGTTTTGGTTTTAGGGTTTATAGACACTTTACAGTGCATAGAACCCTGATAGCAAGCTTATCAACCCCCAGACTATAAATCAGGATCGCCTTGTCTGTCTGTTTGCCCTGGAGCATGTCTAGAGCTCTCGCAGTGTCATCCTTCGGCCGCTGACGGTTTAGCAGTGTGCCTATAGTCTCCATTGTAGTTCCTTTTATGGGTTAGCTTTTAGGATCCTTAATATAAAATTGGTTAAACCAAAAAAAGGAACTACAATGCAGACTATAGGTGCTTTCTGCTTGAGCAGCTTGTTTTCAGGGAGGGTTGGCGGGGGGGCAGAGCATGGGGATTGAGACACAACCAAGCCAGTGCAAGCGTTCCGCCCCGAAACCCTTCAAAACCTAAACCCCTAAACCCATCAAACCACGACGTGCGGAAGCCCTGCACCCTAAACCCCCTACAAACGACTACAAACCTTAAAATCCCAAAAAACCAAAACCTGCTCGTCTTTACCCACAAAACCACCTGGGATAGAAGGAGAAGCAAAGGCGTAGTTGTGCTTCGTATACCATACTCTACTCTACTCTATTATGCAATACTAGATGTTTTAAACTATAACACTATACTGTATTAAATTACTATCTTATACTATATTATGTTCTGTCCATGTCCGTGTTCGAGCTCTGTCTCGGAGCCCGCATCCCGCCCAGGGCTCCCGCTATCTAAACAGCAGGGTACTAGTCATGTCTACCCCAAACCCTGGAGCCCGTAGAATCAAGAAGAAGTCATGTACCGAGTTGGCAGTTGAAAGCCATCTTAGTTGCTGAGTTCATAAGCCCCGAACAGTGTAAACTGTCAGTTTCATGATGGGTAATATTATCCCAAAAAGTGTAAATATATCGTGTATGCACTCAGCTACTAAGCCGTTGAAAAAGAATCGTAAATAATAGATCAGGTTCAGGGTTTAGGGTGTAAGAAAGATGCTCTTAGGACCAACAAGGGGAAATATCGAATGCCTAGAGGGTGAAGTGACCTTGTGGAGCTTGGCCTCAGACCTCAAAACCCAAAACTCAGAGCCCTGAGACCCTAAACCCTTGGCCCTAAATCCCTAAAGACACGCTGAAGATGGAGAGATGCCGAAGCCAGGGTCAGATGCCTTTCCCTTGAAGGGTGCTGTAGGGTTTAGGCTTCTCAGTACGAAAACCATTAAAAGGAAAGCCTTGGGACCTAATCCCCACTTTTCGGGCACTTGGACTTTCTGGGTTCATTACCGCATTGCAAGACTCAGCGCGGGTGTCGAGAAGTCCTGGCTCTTGTTGAAAATGTCTCCGACGTGAGTGTGGTGCAACTGCCGAGGATGGCAAGGGGGGTGCCCAGAGAGCCCAATGACCCTTAATTAAGGAATATAGCCTAAATCAAAATGTGAAGCCCTATATAATTCAAGCCAAATTCCTTGTTAAGGCTTGCGAGCAAAAAAACACCTCCTTAATTAAGGGGTATTGGCTCTCTGGGTAGGGATAGAAAAGGATTTATGTTTTCGGGTTAGCCGGGCTTAGTGGTGGAGCCCGTATTGGCTGTGTAGAGCTTTTGAGTTTCAGCTTTGGGGTTTACTTTGAGGCGCAGGGCACATAGTAAGTAGGTTATAAGTAGGGTTATAATTGGGGTAACTCAATTTCGGGTGCTTATAACTCTACTTATAATCTACTTACTAAGTCCCCTGCCCCCCCAAGTAGGGTTTACGCTTTAGAAGTTCATGGTTTAGGCTTGAGGGTCAGAGTTTGCGGTTAGAGTTCAGGGTTTCGGGTTCAGGTTCAGAGTTTATCGTTTTGGACACTGTGATTCATAACTATGCCTTGACTCACCATATCTCGATTCAACCCTTCAGCCCAACATCCTGCATTTACAAAACCCTAGTTCTTTTGGGGTCTAGGGTTTGGGGTGAGTTAGCATGTCCTACTGTCGTGGACAAAATCCTGCATTACCCATTATAAGAAATATGCCATAATTCCCATAGTTTAGAGTCCTAAGGGTCATGCAGGATTTTGTCCATCAACAATACTTACCGGGTCCCTTTTAATGTCTTTTTATGATAAGCTCTGGCTCCCCGGCCCAATGCTATCCTTTTCAATCCCTTCTTCGAGGGGACCTCTATTGGGATTTTCCGAAAATAGGGGACCCAAATATAGTTCCCTAAATAGTAGGACCCTTATTATAAGGAATAGGACAAGGGCTTCAGAGAAGAGGCCGAGGCATTAGGGTTTGGGTCCCGCTCAAATCCATTTTGCGCCAGGAGCCTGGTGAAGAGGATGACTTTTGGACTCTGAGGGCTTAGGGCTCAGGGTTTGGGGGCTTGTGGTTTAGGGGTTAAGGTTTGGGGTTGTGGGTTTCGGCTGGAGTTGGCGCATCTCGTAAGGAAGGATGTCTGAGTTGCGGACCTATCAAATACAGGGACTCAGAATAAGATTTCTCCCTGAAGGGCTACTACAAGAGTATAAGGGTTCTTACTTATTACCCCTACTTGTCGGGTATCATGGGGACCTAGAGGTTAGGGTTACTACAAGAGTATAAAGGTTACTACAAGAGTATAACGGCTCTTACTTACTACAAGAGTACAAAGGTTCCTTGAAGGGCTACTACAAAGGTTCTACAGGATGATTGCTTTGAGGATCAGAGAAGGGTTCTGGAGTATTTTTTCACTATACGGAACCCGAAGGAATGGGGTTTAGGGTTCAGGGTGTAGGGGTTTAGGGTTTATGCTACTATACGGAACCCGAAGGAAAGGGAACGGTTGATGATATAAATCCTGCATTACCCTAACCCCTAAAAGCCCTGACAACATACCCAAAAGCCCCAAACTCTAATCGCTAGTAGCCCTAAACTCGAAACTTTGAAACCCTAAACCGCACAGACCCTAACAATTCCTAAAAGTCACACCGTAAACACTGCGGTCTAGGTTGCCAGGCTTTGTAAGAACGCAGGCGATCGGGGTCGCCCTTCGGCTGCGGGACGATGTCCATATCCATGACCTGGCTTATGATTTAGGCTTAAGGTTTAGCGTTTAATCATAATGTAGGCTTCAGTATTCATATGGAATTCGGGTCTCTCCTATGAGATGTGTATGCGTCGAACTTACATATGCTATTGGGGTTGATGTATGGAGTTTGGGGTTGATGTTTGGAGTTTTGAAGGCCTGGGGCCTAGGGTGCACACAAGGTCTGACGTCGTTAGTGCGTTGGCGCAGGAGGGGGGGGGGGTTCAGATTCAGACAGATCCCAGGCCCTGAACCCCAGACTCTACACACCTAAACCCGAAATCCCACAGACCCTAAACTACACATTACAGAACCTAAACCCTAGACCTAGACCCTATAGATCCTAAGACCTACACCCTAAGCCTTCAGACCCTACACCCTAAATCCTAAACCCACAGATCTAAACCCCAAATCGTAAACCTCCAGTTTCGGGTTTAAGGTTTAGGGTTTAGGGGTTTAGGGGTTTAATTAGGGGTTTTGGCTGCATTACTTGAAGGATCATCGGACTTAGTAAGTACAGTTACAAGTACTCTAATTGCGGTTATAAGTAATTATAGGTATACCCCTAGCCACAGAGTCCCATGATCCTGAAAGTAGGAACCCAGGAGAGGGATGCAGATTTGAGCTGGGCTGGCCACGAGAAGGGACTTCCTCCAGGTGGCTAAGCCAGTTTACTTGGTGGGGCATGGGACTTAGTACGCAGGATATAAGTAAGGTTAAAATTGGGGTAACTCCGCTTAGGGTACTTATACGTCTACTTATTACTACTTACTAAGTCCCCTGCCCCACCAAGTATGGTCAGAATCCAGCTAGCAAGGAAACACTGTGCCCTGGAAGCCGTACAAACCCGAAACTATGCCCTAGCGCTCTTGAGGGGTAAGCAAAACATGGCTGGCCGTGTCTATCTCCTCTATAGGGCCGACAAGAAGCACCCAAAACCCCCAACCCTAAACCTGAATACAGGGGCCCCAAAACCTAGAATATGGTTTTGGGGCCCATTACACGATAATTGTAGCAAGGAACCCCCAAAGTAGTACAGGTAATTATTAAGGCCCCTATAGTATGAAGAAGCACAAGACCAGCAGCCTGTGTGCTCATGACCTTGGCGGGAGCTCACTGCGGCTTTGGGGAGGGGTCGGGGGGCATGTGACAAGCAGCAGGCGAGCAAGAATGAGGGCTACACACAGCCTGGCGGCTAGAGGCAGAAAAGGGCTGTGAGTTCAGAGTTCAAGGCTTAGGCATTGAAAGTTAGAAACCGTCATGTTTAGAGCGTAAGGTTTAGAGCTTAAGGTTCTTCAGGTTTTCTGGGTGAAAATGACGGTTGAGAGTGGATATGCCGTTGCCGGTGTCAGCCGAGGGCAGTCGGCCATCATAAGTTGGGTTTGGGGTTTACGGTTTCGCAAGGGTATCACTAAGGATCCCATTCCCAGGCCCCCGGGAGGATCCAAAAAGTAGATCCCTTAATGGGGGTTCCTATAAAGTACCCTTAGTAGTATAGGGCCCCAAATTAGGGGATCTACTTTCTAGATCCTCCCGGGGGTCTGGGTTAAGGTCCTGTAAGGGTTTAGGGTTTGCGGTTTTGTAAGGGTTTCATTAAGGATCCCCCTTGGGTCTTGTAGGGGTTTAGGGTTTCATAAGGGTTTCATTAAGGATGCCTTCGAGGTCCTGTAAGGGTTTGGGGTTTAGGGTTTCGTAAGGGTTTCATTAAGGATGCCTTTAAGGTCCTGTGCGGTTTTAGGGTGTAGGGTTTTTGCATCGGATTTGGCATTTAGGTCTCTTCTCGACAGATCAGGGACTTGCGATTAGGCTGCATGTAGGATAGAAAATCAGATAAGCCCAATATTGAACTTGTAGCCAAATGCATAACCTACTTACTAAGCGATCCTTCAGGTATACCCTCCTCACAATCATATCATCAACTGAAGACACAATTTGTGCAACACATGCTGGTACAGTTGCTAGTAGTCGGTGCGACAGAGAGTGCAAGTGCTGTTTAGGATCACTCGCCGTTGCCCGTGACACTGCCAGGTTGAGCCGGCCGCAATCACGTACAGTGATGCCACACGCTCGGAGCCACAGCAAGCACCCAGAGAGCCAAATACCCCT